TAACTTTTAGTTAATATTTGTTACATGTCCTTGTTGTGTTCTTTCTGTGTTTCTTTTCTAATTCCATTGGTTTTCTGATCTTGTCTAACATCCAGAGTAGGAAGGTTTTACCTTATTTTGCTATAAGTTTTGTCTTCTTTGGGTCGCCTTCGTGAAGGCTGTGGGTTACAAGAATAGAAAACCAATTTATCACATGGTTTAGAAGCAGTGGGAATGGCTGGCTTACAAAGACCTTCCTTGGTATAAATAAATGCATGAATGGGGGCTCATCCAAGATGGCGGCCCACTGCTACGCCAACTCCAATAGGCAGAGCCCAATGAAATTGCATTATTTAGGGCTTGTAGAAATACATAATTTACTTTTTTCAAAATTCAACATTATTTTATAATTTATTTATTTATTCAGAAAGCCGAAAACAGAAAAATATATACAGCAATGGAAGGGGTGCGTTTACTGACTCTTTTTTCAAATAGAATGTTTGTGGAACCAAAACTGTTGCGGTTGTCTCATCATCTGACCACTAGAGGGAAGCAGAGAGGTAAGACAAAATTAACAGTATTGTTAGCCATCCAAAGACTTGTGCCTGCACCAAAAATCAAGACGGTTGGATAAAAATTGTCCATTAGAATGGGGGGAACTAATTAGTGCAGTGTGCTCCTGATAGCATCTGTTACCACATGTAACTTGGTTGTAGAAAGAGCTAAGACCACCAAAATTTCAGCAATATATGGTCTTTATTAAAGAACATATTTGTGTAGTAAAAAATGAAGGAACTGGGATTTTTATTAGGTCAAGGAGAATAAATTCTGGAAAGTTCAGATTGACAGAATTTGTTACTGTCTGTCAAACATAGGCGATAGCCTTGGGCCCCAAACACTTAAGGGTCCAGTGACACTTAGAGATGCTTGAGATATTTCTTTCCTTCAAAATTAATTAACCATGTCATTCTAAAAGAAAGTTTTAGATCGGCTTGCGTGAAAGTGTTTCAGTGACCCCTGTCACCCAGCTTAACTAGACCAGTGGTTCCTTGAGGACCACCTTGCCTGTGTTCAAGACAAGCCAGGATTCCCAACCCCAACTCCTACAAGAATACACGCAATAATTGTGATCATTTACAAACTTTATAAAGACATACATGGTTGTAACTAACATGGAGTTTTGATAATACTTGTCTGTTACTGGGATTTTATAAATGTAATTAAAAAAAATTAAATCTTGCTAACCTTACAACCTCAGCATAGACAAAATTGTGGGGGACCCCCTTTGGAGTCCCAGACCCCAGTTTGGGAACCACTGGACTATAGCAATGGAAGTGAATGACTGAAGAACAAGTTTGTCATCTGATGCAAGTAATAATAAAAACTTAAGTGAAATAATTATGCAAAAATATAGTGAAGTTACTCAAAGGGCTCTGAAAAGTAAAAGAAGCAGGTAGAGAGTGAGAAGGTTGTAGCAACACAGCCAGATGTTAGATTTCTTTACAGTGCTGATGATTACTGAGAGCTCCATTAATGCTAATGCTGCAAATGAAATGTAAGAAGTTGAAGCTTGCTCTGCTTTTTTGAGAAAAGATTCAAGACAACATCTACAGATGACCCCATAATTTGTCTACCCTGGGGTCCCAAACGAGGTCTGCTACTGATATCAAAAATAAAACACCATGACATAACCAAAAGCAAATTTCTATTTAATTATTTCCTTAAAACATGTTTTAAAATAAATTTTGTTTTTGTAAAAAACCTGTGTTCACTGCAAACCTAGTAACCTAGCCATCCTGTGTGAATTGTTGAGACTATTAGTCTTTTCATAAGCTAATATCTAATTAGTTAAGAAAACAGAGCATTTACTTTACTAATATATCTCGTTAATTCGGAAAACAGAGCCTTATCATTTATTTATTCATTCATTTATTTTGCTTTTGGTGTATGCATTACGCTTCCGCACAAAATAAGAATCTAAAACATTAGTTCTTGTGCTTCACAGCGTTGATCCTGCATGCAGACCATAGACTGTACATACAGACTTGGGCAAACTTTTCTGTCACTCTGATTGGTCGGATTTGGCCAGAGTGGGCGGAGCTAAGACATAACTAATCAGCATATCGATCTGGCTATAAATGCGCTGCAGCTCCACCTGACGTGTCGAGGAGCTTGAGGACCTGGAGAGGAAAGAGTGGTTCGCGGGGATCAGGTGAAGGTAGAGGAGACGCTCACCGGTCCGGACTACTAAACAACTTTACTCTCCACGTTGGGCTCCTTCCCTCTCCAACTTCCTCTCTAAAGTTCGGTTCAGAGTTGAGGTTCGGGAGGTGAAAGCATTTCTCCCCACCGGTTCTACTGACGTGAGTCCGGTTCGACCCAGAGCCCAGGGTGACCCATGAGGTTGGAGGCCGCAGCCAGGATGGATGTGTTCAGGAAGCTGTGGAGGGCGAGGAAGCTGATGGTGGTGGTGTTCATCCCGCTGTCCCTGCTGCCCCTGCCGCTTCTCCACCCCACCAGCGTGAGTACCCAACTCCTGCTAATAAAAGCAGTTTGATGCAATCTTGTCTCTAGCCTGCCCATGCATGAACTGATAAATTGGCCTATTTTTTCATGTGTCAAAAACAAATAACTGTCGAAACTCATGTTGAATGAAAACTATTACATTTATATTTTTCATGCTTACAGATGCTTTAGAACAATTATGAAAAAGTATATTTTATTATGCATGCATGAAAGAAATCCATTGTTTTCAAATTACAAACTTAAAAATTGTTGGACGCTATTTAGATGCCAGAAAAATTATAGGTTAGTTAATAACGAGAATAAATGTGAGACAACAATAAGGGTTCCTGCCTTAGAGGTGATAAAAGCACCAGCTTTTAAAAGTCATAAAACAGATTTCATCTGACTTAAGTTTGTGTACTTTAAATATATGCCGATTCTACTTCAAGGGCAGATACCAATTTTAAATTGTTGAACCACTCATGGCTGCCATACCAATTTGGGCAGATGATTTAAAATGGAATGAACAGGTTACTTTGATTATTTTTATAATAATTTTATTATTCTGATTATCCCAAAATTGCATGAGAAATAATTTATTCCTAAAATGTGGAATTTTCTTTTATGTTCATGGACAGAAATGAATTACTTAAATAAATAAAAATCATTATTTTGAATATTGACCAATACTGATCACTAGCTGATTTCTTTTCTGGTGCACCTTTGTTGTAAATAAATAAATAAATAAATAGATAGATAGAGAGATAGAGAGATAGATAGATAGATAATCTTTATTGACAGAGTCTTAGGTTCAGATAAAGAAAAATATAAAACAACAAAACATTAAAAACAATAAATGAAACAAAATAGGTAAAAACAAATAGAACAAATAAAAATGATAAAAGCATGAAAATAAAATAAAAATCTAAATTTATTTTAAAACTTACTATAAAGATGCTCCACACGATTAAGAGTAACCACACAAAAACTTGAACCAGTGTTTCCTTATACTGGACAAATAGTGACAACTGCTCACAGCAGGATCTGTGATTGCTAAAATTATACTGTTGACAGAACCATCCACTCGTTCTCTAAAAGTGAATATTAGTTTTCTTAAAAGTGCTTTAAAAGTACAAATGCCTGCTGTTACAAACATCTGACCGGCACTGCCCCCTCTGGGTATTTTGAGTAAGATTCTTAAGGCATCATTTTATGCAACATGCAGCTTATTCATGCTGCTTTGATTGTAGGATGACCACAATTGGGCTGTAAAAAGCCTAAATATCTGATCAGCTATTAATGTTTGGTTGTTAGATGACATGTTTTTCCTCTTGATTGTTGGTGATAACTGCACAGATTGTGTGTGTGTGTGTGTGTGTGTGTGTGTGTGTGTCAATGGGAAGCAGAGAATTACTCAAAGGCACACTGTCGTTTTGATGAGCTCTGTACCGAGCTTTCCCAATCATCTCTCTCTCTCTCTCTCTCTCTCTCTCTCTCTCTCTCTCTCTCTCTCTCTCTCTCTCTCTCTCTCTCTCTCTCTCTCTCTCTCTCTCTCTCTCTCTCTCTCTCTCTGTGTGTGTGTAGGGGAGACATCGCCACATGTTGATGAGATGGGGTTCAGCCCTTTGATTCAAAGCAGACAGTTTGTGTTGCTGATCAAGATATTTCATCCAGGATCTTTTGTTTACAGTTGAGGTCAAATTTACATGAGAATCGGGTTTTATGTTATAATAAACTCGGAGATTGTCAAAGAAAATACCAAAGTATTGTGTTTCCCACGTTCAAAATCTTGTTATTTCCCAATGTTCCTATATTTGTGACTACCTGTTTTACCACTGTTACATCAACTCAGGCACACAGATACTCAGGAAGCTGGAGATAATCTCTGTCAGCCAGTGATAAATAGATTAGATTTGTTTCTTTCAAAAAACTAAATGTCCTGTCTGATTTAAACAGACAATGACAGAGTTTCGAATATAATCAGAACTTATCTGATAAATGAGTTAAGCAGTAAACAGTTGTCTTATTAATAGAGATGATGAGTGAGTTCAGGGTCATTTGTTCTCCATGTGGGCTGTTTTCTGTTATTCTGAATGCCAAAACGTACCTGATCAATACCACAAACCCTAAAAATAGACTTTAAAAAGCAACTGAGTGAGTTGACAGCACCAGCTAAGTTGTTATTCCATTAGATTTTGATGTATGTGTATACATAAGGCTGTTATAGTACATGTTCATTTACCAGAGAACGTGACAGCGCAGTAGGAGCCCCAAACCAGGACTAAAATAAATAAAATTAAATTAAAAACAAAAGACAAAGGAAAAAGTAAAACATTCTTATATTATTTTCTAAAGGTGGTTATTAACTCCTCAATCCTTTACATTTTTGTATTTTCTTTTTTTTATTGAATTTTATTTGCATATTTTAAATGTGATTTAAAAATTTCCTTATTTAAAAATTACACCTAAAAAGGTCTTTGCCTCTGTGTGACTTGTGCAATACGAATAAAGCTGCCTTGCTTTTATTAAAATGTGGAGATGGAAAACAATTCCATGTTTCTCTTGTAATTTAGTTTTTCAATCAGTAAAATAACAATAATTTTAGGCTAAGAAAAAAATGAAATTAGACTTTATAAAGATTTTCTTTTACTATTAATGAACTTTTTTTCATTGCTTTTGAAATGTAGCTGTGATTCACACAAAAGCACAAAAACCCTTCCACAATAAAGTAGCATCTCTGCAGCATGTATTTATCTAGGCAAGGCAGCTTTATTTGTATAGCACATGCCATACACGGAGGCAATTGAGTCTTTCTATTAGCAAGAATAGCAAGAACATTAAAATCAATGTGACAGCACAATTAAAATACACAAATACATTTAGATAAAATTAAATACACACATTTATTTCAGATGCAGTGCAGAAGGTGCAGCATAAGAACATTCATTCAAAGGCTGATGAATACATAAATATTTTCACTTTAGATTTAGAAGTTAGTAGAGTTGGGGCACATTTGAGGTCATAAGGAAGCTAATTCCACATGTGTGCAGCATAGTAGCTAAAAGCAGCTTCACCCTGTTTGGTTCTGACCCGGGGTTCCTCCATTTGACTGTTTCCTAAGGATCTCAGGGCCCTGCTGGGAGTATATACAGGAAGAATATGCTGCTGAAGGTTTTCAGTCCTTCAGGCCATGGTAATCCAAAGGGGTTCAAACGAAGGCGACTGGACTTCTTTGGTTTATTGAAGATGTTTCGCTTCTCATCCAAGGATCTTTGTCAGTTCTGAATCTGTCTTCATTTGAACCCTTTTGGATTATATACACAAAGGCAATACAACATGTATTTTGGCCCCATGCCATTACTGATTTATAAACTAGTAGAAGCACTTTGAAATTATTCTGTAGTTTTAGGGCTGAAACGATTCCTCGAGTACCTCGAATAATTCGAGTACAAAAAAGCCTCGAGTCAAATTCTCTGCCTCGAGGCTTTGTTTAATTCATGTTTAATTAATGGCTTAGCAATCGCCCGGGGTCATGTTTCACCCGGACCGAAATAAGTGACGCACATACACACTGCACTGAATTCACACGCGAGTAGCGAATGTAACTTAACTCTCTCTTAAGCCATGGTGGACAACGTGGACCCCGGTGGAGTGCGAAAAAACCAGAAAATGTCAAAGGTGTGGGACCATTTTTCACATCGTAAGGCGGAAAACGTAGTCCAGTGTAAATACTGTAAAATGGATTTAGCCTACCACAACACCACATCCTCCATGCTGCGGCACCTGACCAGGAAACATCCACATGTAAATGTCACTTCTGCAAGCGGACTCTGAGGTCCGCTATATATTCTGCGGACACTGTGCGACTTTTTCATTTGTTGCACTCAGTTTCAGCTCACACTGTCTGGTAGCAACACGTCGGACCTAAAAATGTGCTAAAAATAGCAGTTTTTACAACACGTCATACTTTTTATTGTGTTCTTATTGACGTCTTTTGTCCCTCGAGATTGCTGCAGGAGGACACAGGTATTTATGTGTGGCGGAGGAAAACGAGAGAAAGTAAATAAATGTTTTGTGATCAGCATAATTTGACATAACCACGGCAAACATGCTTTCTCGACTATCCTTGTTATTGTGTGAGAGAAAAAAGTGTAGAAATTAAAACGGACGTGTGTTAAAAGGGAAATAGCTGGCGAGCCATGTTTGTGCATGCGCCGTGAACGGTTCTGGTGCTGTTTGGGCCGTAGCCTCTCGCAGCTCTACTTCAACAGTTATCCTCCTAGTTTTTGTCTGGCTTACCACAGGCTAGTAGATTCTCGCATGAGGGTAAAATCGGTTCAGGTTGTATATTTTTTTTTTTGCACAGGCGTTTGTTTACTGTGAGGTTGAAGTGCTGAAGTTTTGAAAAGTAATTTTGAATAAAACTTGAAGAATAACTGGCAATTGCTTGCTTATTTTAAGAGGTCTTTCATGTTTTATAGCATGCTATTTGACATAATGGTTTACAAACACAAAAGGGTCATTTATTAGAGTACTTGACTAATCGATAAAAGATTCGATAGAGTGCTCGATTACAAAAATATTCGATAGCTGCAGCCCTATGTAGTTTACTGGTAACCAGAACAGATGTGATGTTCTCAGTTCTCTTGGTTCTTGTTAAGACTCTAGCAGCAGCATTCTGAGTAAGCTATAGTTGCTTCACAGCTTTTCTGGGAAGACCAGTCAAAAGACCATTGAAATAGTCCAGTCTGCTGGAGAATGATGCATTAATAAGTTTCTGTAGGTTCTGTCTGGACATGAGACCCCTGAGTCGTGCTATTTGATGAAGACTATAAAATGCTGATCTAGTTTTAGCCTTAATGTGACCAGTAAAGCTCAGGTCTGAATCAATTATGATGCCAAGATTTCTAATCTGGGTCTTTTATTTTATTCCTCTGGAGCCAAGTTGAGCAATAATCTCCATCCTATCCTTATTTTTAAAGACACACACCTCAGTATTGTCTTTATTTAAATGAA